TTACATGGCGAAGACTAAATCTTCAATGAGAATTGATATATTTAAGCGTCATAAGGTTAGAGAGAAGACAAACTCTTTTTGAAGTAGATAATAACGTCAGTGTTGAAGTGTTTGGATGATGACATAAAATTCTTCATTGTATGTAATATATCATTGTTTTACATATTAAACTTTATAGTAAAGTAAGTTATCTGATATTTTTTCAAACTAAGTATGCCATCATTACAACTTAATTTGCATCACAAACCACTTCAATACCTTGGTGAAGTTTGGAAGATGTAATAATGATGCTTCTGTCAATTTCTTCTTGATAATCTCAAAAGATATAGACATTATTCCTGTCTAAATAAAATATTTATTCTTCATTCAATTTGTAATGGTTGTTATTATAGTGTTAAAGTCTTCAATAAACCTCCTGTAAAAAGATACTAACTTGTGGAAGCTTTGCATTTCATGTAAGATCTTGGGAGTAAGTCATTCTTGGATAGCTTTAACTTTTTCTGGATCAATTTTGGAAGAGACGCAAAGGAACACAATGTTGGTTGTGATGAATGCACATTTTTTTAGGTTAATATAGTTTTTTTTGGCGACGTACTCTCATAACTTGTTATAAGTGAAAGATGTATTCTTTCTTAAACTTACAGAAGATAAGAATATCGTCAAAATAGATAATTATTAGAAAACTTGATTCATAAAGCACATGAAAGTACATGGGGCATTAGACACTTCAAATAGCATGACTATTCACGAAATAACTTTAGTTGTTTATATATTTAAATCTTTAAATCGAATCATTAAGTAACACAAGATGATAGTTGGGCTTCTCACACTGTATACTCCATCAGTGCAGACTAGAGATATGTATACTAATTTTTTTAATACTTCTCTTGATTTTTAATTAATGCGAAAATTTATGGGCGAGAGATGAGAATTGTTATACTTTGGATTTACTATGATGTTAAATCAAGGGTTGTTACAATTTGTGTTATATGTAGACATTATTAATCCTACATCACTGATAACTCTATTAAAGATGGGACTTATTGATTTAAATTATGGTACAAGTAGCAAATATGAATGAGGAATAGTTCAGATTCCATTTATTTATTTTTTATTTCAAGTAACTACTTCTCTAATAAAGGCGTTATTAGTTATAGAGAAGTTGTATTGCAACCTTATCTGCAAAGAAAACTTATGTAACTACCTTCTCTAGTGTCATACATTGAATTGGAATTTAGAGCTCGGGTAGGATTTATATGCCATGAGTCATATATAAATTTTAGCATCTAAATTGACCTGGTCACTCATTAGAAAGACTACAACAAATATACGCATCGAAAAATATAAGAGTTTAAAAAATACATTGAAACATTATATATATATATTTAAGATTAAGTCAATTTAATTTTAATATTTATGATGTTACTAATGTTAGATTGCAGTGTTTAAAATTTTTGTCGTTTTATATTTATATTAAAAGATTTCGTTGTGCAAGAAGAATGATAAGGTCTGTGTTTAATGTTTATTCATGCAATACATTAGAGTAGAAATAACAACTTTGATAATTTTCTATCAACGAAGTTTTATTAAAATCAGTTCAACTATGTTGTTAGAATTTGTCACAAAAAAATTATCTGAAAATTTAGATTGGTTAGACTTAATTACTATTAGTAATAAACAAGATTAGATTTTCACCGAGATTATCCAAAAAGCTGTTATTAATATGATAAGAGGCGCAATAAGGATAAAATATATAACATCAATCAAAGATACATAGATATATATAAATATGTATACCTTTTAAGACATTAAAGGAAATCGAATTTGGTCTTCTTTGTCAAAAAGCTAACCATGTAAGCATTGATATATCATTCTCCTCATTGTTCTTAAGTATTAACCGTTGCATTTCTGTTAATTAAAGAGGATTAGTATATAATGTAGGACAAAGTTTCTTCTCTGATATTAAATTGAATTTGGTCCCCTGCAAATAATTAGAATTTTACTAACATTGTGTTGCTTGATAAATTAAACAAACAAATCGAAGAAATTTTTTCTTTTTTGCATTCAATATTAAGAGTTTTGAAAATTAAAATATATTTTTCTCTCAAATACTAGCACTTATTCATTTAATTCTCACAAAATGGGAACACACTCACTTCTTTTCCAATATAAAATTAAATACCCTATTTACTAATATTTAAATCACACTAATTATATCAAATAATATATATTGTATTCTTTCATCTTGCATCATAGATCGAGAGTGTTTTCAAAACTTTGATGCAGGAGCAAAACTAAGCAAAAATAAGAATTTTTCATGTATTAAAAATGAGTCATTACTAATTTGTTAACTTTTCTTAAATTCTTTGAGTTATATGGTGGGAGAAAATCGGTATTAGATGAATCAACTACCGATTTTCTACATGGCTTTTGCCAATTTCATAGTGTTGAAAAATGTTTTTAACCACCATTTAGGATGATTCTTGTATAAATTTGATAATCCTTCAAATAATTCCAAACAATACCATGATTATATTCTTATTTATTGTGGATTAAGAGATATTGCGAATTAAAATTAAGGATTTGATTATGCTAATAAAAAAATATTATTGTTTTTGGTATATATCATTTATCCTTTTGGAGTTTGTACTAAATAATGATTTAACAATAGAAGTAAAAAATATATATTAGGATATTCTCTATTATTTTAAAATGTTCAAATTTTACCTTTGTAAATTTTTTGGTTCATGTCGCTCGTGAACTTTGAAATTAGTGTCAAATAAGCCCTTCCTTATTAAAAAAAAACTCTAACATCATTTACGTTATACTAATATGGTGTTTGCATAACACTAACATCGTAACAAATTTAAATATTATTTTTTAATTAGGCATGCATGGATGTCTTATCAGTGCCACATAAATAATTAT